AAAATCTGAGCAGTTCCAAACCACAGGTGCCAGACCAAGGAGGTCCCACCTGTGGGAAAAACTTTCACACAATGCACAATTACACTATGAAACTTATTGTTAGAGGCTATTGAGACAAATCAGAATAGAATTTGAAGGGATTAGATATCTGTATGGTGAACAGCTGGCTGTACTGAGCAGGATGACTGCTTCAGAGCATAAATTAACCACTGTCAAGATTAGGAAGAAACTTCCTGTATGGGCAAGCTAGCCCTTGAGTGTTCCAATATGGAATTTTTCACACTTTGCTGTCAGAGGATACTGAACTAGATGGCTCCTTCATCTGATCCTGTAAGACAGGGTTCCGGTTCACTGGGGGAAACTTTCGGCAGGAGATGCCTGGGTAGGCATCGCACACCATTCTACTAAGGCCACTGGAAAGTGTTAGACATGCATTTTGTTGAGCCTAAACTTAAGGCCGTCAAGAACAATGGACTTTATACTATGTGTAAACATTATCTGTAAAGAAGCCATCAGACCAGCTCTCCCCATACCTGTCCCTCCATCCCCCCAGTATGTGTATAGTTATCTAGGTGCTGATTTGCCTCTTGATTCCCCACTCTCCCAAACTTGGCCCAAGTCCATGTTCTTTTGTCTGTGAAACATTTGACTTTCACATCACTCTTGTTTACTTCTGGCTTGTGTACACAGTGCTGGGAAATAATACTGAAACAAGTTATAGGGCTCCATTATCTGGCTTACTGGAAACCCTCTGAAGAGCTCACTGCATTTCAGATGCCTGGGACTTCCACATATGCACCTCCCTGTCCAACTCCCATTCAACCAGCCTTGCATAAGAAGCCTGGAGTGAATTCAAACGTCTGTCGGTGTGTTTGATCACAGACAATGGCCACCCCTAAAAGTTGATGAGGTGCATTTTATGCTCTTGCCCTAGAATAGAAATCAAGTAAAATTCTCCTGTGAAAGGGCATGTAAGCTGCTGGGCTGGCGCAGGCAGGCTTAGTCAGTTTACTATTTTTCTTTCTTGGAACCAGTCGGTAGCTGAGCAAAGTGAGTTCTGTGTGCTGCAGTTCAAACAGACTTCACTGAGAAGCAGCTAGTGCTGATCTGAGTTCCTGAGATGGAGCCAAAGCCACTCTGAAATTGGACTCCTTGCCCGGAGAAGGGATCGGGTATCGCAGCCCTGCCAGCTCCTCTGCCTGGAGCCATAGGCTTCTTCTACATGAATGATTCATACAGAGGTACCTGCCTCCTGTGTTTCTTGGCACAGCTAGTGTGCTAATCCTTATACAGTGTAAACATTAACTTCTCCAGTGTGGATCCTACTGAAGTAGCATGTGAAGAAGGTAAAGTCAGAGTGCTTGCATATCTACACCTACCTGGCAGCTCAGTAGTAAACTCTTTTGCTACTGGTACACAGGGGAGGGGGAAGCATTGACCCCCTTTCTCCT